CCTCTGGCCTTTTGTTTGCCTGACTTGTTTCTGTGCCCGTGCCTCTCCCTTATTTTGTTGCGAGGCCAGTGTTTTGGTGAGGGCATTTTTACTTCTTTTTTTTGTGTTTGTGTTATTACTTTGCCATGGGTGTTCTACTTCTTCATTGCTAGAATGTGTTGTTGTTGTTTATATTTTTTTATGTTTGTTTTAATTCTTGTTTTTTGTTTTTATTTTTGGCTTGTTGTGTGCTGTGCGATTTTCTTGTTCTATTTCATGATGTCCTTTATGTTGTGTTTTGTTCTCGGTCCTTCAGGCCAGTGCTTGTTTGTTGTTGTGTATGGTACTCAGTTTTGTTTTCTTGATTGCATGGCTTGCTTGTTTGTTATTATTGTACATATTGGCCTCTCCCTTCGTTTGTTGCAAAGCGGTTGGTTTGGTGTGAGTGTTTTTATTCATGTCTTGTTTATGTGCTGTATCTTTGCACTGGTATTTTATTGTTGCATTACATGTTGTACTTGTTTGTTATTTTTGTTAGTTTGATGTGTATTGTGATTTTCTTGTTATGTTCAATGTTATGCCTCTTGATGTTTGTTTTGTTTAATTATTTTGTTTAGATATGTTACTGTGCTTCCTTATTTGTCATTTTTTCTATTTTGTGTCTTGATGTCTGCTGTGTTTTTCAATGGATTTACCGTGTTTGTAATTTGTTGTACAGTGCTGTCGGCCCTTCTGGGCGGTGGTTTATGGTTTTGTTTTGTTTTGTTTTGTTATGTTTTCTCTGTTTTTATTGTATTTTAATTGCATACTTTGCATGTAAAAAAAAATAACAACAGGTGGACCCATTTTGCAATAAACCCCATCAATACATTCGATATAACAAACACAGTAACTGAGAAGGGTGTCGACGAAATACATGCAGACTTTGTTATGCGAGGCCCTTGAGAATCTCCTCCAGCACACTTCAAGATTACGGTTATTGAAGGAAAAAAGAACCAGACAACTCCTCATCTTCTACGTAACATTGCACAGATGCATATAGGAGCAAACATGGCATCCGACAGTTTTACTTATTTCACAGATGGATCAGTAGACAAGCAGGGACAAGAAACCGGAACTGCAGTTAAAGCAGGAAAATTTGTAAATACTTGGAGGCTCTTAAATGGGTGTTCGACTTTACAAACAGATATGCTAGCCATTCAAAACGCTTTGGAACATGCTCTTGCTGAACACCGACAACATTTTATGATACATAAAGATTCGAGAACCGCCATTGACACATTGCAACAAGAACACTTATGTGATAACATACATCTGATCACAAATGTCGTATCATTAATGCAAACACTCAAACGACAAGGCCGACGGGTACTAATCAACTGGGTGCCAAGTCATGTGGAAAAAATAGGAAATGACATTGCAGACGGAGCTGGAAAACTAGCAACTAAGAGAAGAAATGTAGACATTTACATACCACAGAGTCTATCACAGATTTTGAAAGTAATTAGAAACAGAGCAATGCAAAAGATGTACAGTGACCACAACATAGCAATTGCAACATCCAGATCTGCGGGTTGGTTCAAGAATTCACCCAACTACGAACCACTTAGTTTGATGAAAGGGAACAGTAGAGCAACAGAAGTACACTTACATCACATCAGGCTTTCATACCCATGTGCATGGGAAATAGGCTTACAGGTTCCGGAAAATGAGAGGAAATGTCAGTACTGTGGAGAAATGCCCGACAGACCACTGGAACATTACGTAACACAGTGCACTGTTACAAACCCATTAAGATTTCAACTTAGATTCAAGAGAGCAGAAGAAGTTGTTAAACACATATGGCAAAATCTTACTGAAGCGACCATACAAGTCATAAATATTCATACTCCGCCCAAGTAACACAGAAACAAGCAACACTTAGTGGGCCAGCCAGAGGCTTAGGGCCCGTGCAGGATTATCCCTGCAAAAAAAAAAATCGGGAGTATTGTTAAATTTTTATATATAATCTATATAAATAAAAATATAAATGTTCGTTTGTTCAAAATCCCTAATCTCCGAAAGTTCTTTACCGATTGCTTTGAAATTTTCACACAATGTTCCACTCGCATTCGAGGAGGTTTTTATATACATATTATATTGATGTCTCGTCTGTGACGGAAAAAAACATGCTTTTTTTAATGGTATGTACCAAAATCAAGTGATTTTGATGTGAGAGAAATCTTTGAAACTTCTTTACCGATTGCTTTGAAATATTGACACGACGTTGCATTCGAATTGGCGCGTGTTTCTATATACCTACTATATACATGCCTTACCTGTGACCAGAGAAAACATTTTTTTTTTTTTACATCGCCATCTGTTGGATGTAAGAGCAACACACGCTGTAATCTCCCAAAGTTCTTCACCGATTGCTTTGAAACTCTGACACAACGTTCCATTCGAATATGCGCATCTTTTCATATATATACTATATAGATACCACCCCTGTGCCAGGTAAATATAAGCGTTTTTGAAAAACAGCGCCATCTGTTTTAATGTTTCCGATTGCATTGATAAATTTTATTTTTAAAGATGTCGATTTATTTTAATTTTTTATTAAGTTTTTTGTGTGACATTGTGTTGGGATCGAGCTGTGTTGTTTACCATACCGTTCATTTGGTAGGTATAAATATAGATGCCACACCTGTTATAGGTAAAACTATGCTTCAAACAAATTCTGTTCTAAGCAGAAAAACTACGCTGCTCTTGAAAAACAGCGCCATCTGTTGCATGTAAGAGCAACACACATGCTATACTAAATATGTTACAATTCCATTTCAATATATCTGATTGCATTGATATATTGAATTTTCATAAATTTTTATTTATTTTTATTTTGCTTTAATTATTTTGTGTGAATTGCATTTGAAATAAGCTGTGTTGTTTACCATACCGTTCATTTCGTGAGTATACTTTATTTTTTACTTTTTCATATTATCATTTCATTTTTTAACTCTTTTTCTTATAATTCAGTAATGGGAACATCAGATTACTTGATGTTCTAAATTTTCTGATGGCAACATCACACAATATGGCAAGACATCGGACGAGGGACTTAGGAATGGTGCTGATAGCGAGAGGACGGAAGTGAGAGATAATGGGGAGGACAAAGGGACGAGGGAGGGGGTAATGGTGGGGAAGGACGAGGGGACGGGAAAGTTGGGGATGGTAGGGACGAGGGGGATAGGGAAATGGAGAATGGAGGGGAGGACAAAGGGACAGGGGAGTGGAGAAAGACTGGAAGGAAGAGGGGATGGTGGAGTGGGAAATGGTGGGGAAGACGAGGAGACGGTAGTGGGAAATGGTTGGGAGACCGAGGAGACGGGTGAGGGGGAAATGGTGGGGAAGACTGGGGGACAGGAAAGGTTGCTGTAGCTCAGCAACGCACATGCGTTGCTAAGCCACAGCAACGCGTGGCCGGGCTCTGCTAGTCTATATAAATATAAATGGACACTGTTCGTTTGCTGAAAATCGCTAATCTCCAAAAGTTCTTCACCTATTGCTTTGAAATTTTCACACAATGTTCCATTCTCATCCGGCCTGGTTATTATATACATACTATATAGATATCACGTCTGTTACGGTAAAAAAAAAACATGCTTTTTCTGGAAAACTGTGTTTTTCATGTGAGGGAAATCTTCTAAACCTCTTTACCAATTGCTTTGAAATTTTAACACAACTTTGCATTCGTATAGGCGCGTCTTTTTATATATCTACTATATACATGCCTCACCTGTTCATTTATTATGCACCCCATACCCATCTTGTGGGCGGTAGTGAAAAGGGTTACAGAGGCCTGTGTCAAGAAAAACATGCTTTTTAAAAAAAAAAACAGTGCCATCTGTTGGACGTAAGAGCAACACACGCTGTAATCTCCGAAAGTTCTTCACTGATTGCTTTGAAATTTTGACACAACGTTGAATTCGAATAGGAGCGTGTTTTATAATGCGTACTATATATATGTAACACCCGTGACAGGTAAAAACATGCGTTTTTGAAAAACAGCGCCATCTGTTGCACATAAAGGCAACATGCACGCTATACTAAATATGTCATGAATTCCATTTCAATGTTTCTGATTGCATTGATAAATTATATTTTCATAGATTTCTATTTATTTTATTTTTTATTGAATTATTTTGTGTGACATTGTGTTGGAATTAAGGTGTGTTTTTTACCATACCGTTCATTTTGTAAGTATAAGAATAGATCCCACACCTGTGACAGGTAAAACTATGCTTTGCTTGACAAACAGCGCCATCTGTTGCCTGTAAGAGCAACACACATGCTATACTAAATATGTTACAATTCCATTTCAATGTTTCTGATTGCATTGATAAATTGAATTTTCATATATTTTGAATTATTTTTATTTTGATTTAATTATTTTGTGTGAATTGTATTGGAATTGAGTTGTGTTGATTACTACACCGTTCATTTCGTGAGTATAGTTGATTTTTTTCGTATTTTCATTTCGTTTTTTAACTGTTTTTCTTATATTTCAGTGATGAGAACATCAGATCTTTTGATGTTCCCAATTTTCTGATGGGAACATCAGATCATTAGGCAAGGCATCGAATGAGGGAGTGGGTAATGGTGGGGATGACGAGGGGACGAAAGTGAGAGATGGTTGGGAGGACGAGGGGACAGGGGAGGGGGTTATGGTGGGGAAGGACGAGGGAACGGGGAAGTTTGGGATGGTGAGGAACGAGAAGATGGGGGAATGGAGATTGGTGGAGAGGAGAAAGGATAGGGATGTGGAGCATGGTGGGAAGGAAGAGGGAATGGTGAGTAGGGAATGGAGGGGAGGACTGGGAGACAGGGAAGGTTGCTGTGTTACCGTACCCGGCCACAGCAACGCGTGGCCGGGTACTTCTAGTATATACATATATTTGGCAGACACATAGTAAAAAATGACAAAATGAGGCTGGAAGTGAAGCATATGATTTTACAATGTTCTTAAAATTTTGTATTCTTTCTCAGGGCAGTGCTCCTTCTATGAGTCTAAAGAAGAGTTTCTGCCTTTGATGCTTGCCATGGTGGGCCAGAAGGGAAGTCCAATTGTTTCAGCATTGAATAAGAGGTATCATACAAGATTAGCCATAGGATGGTTATATGATATAAAAATTTTAATATTGTGTTTGTTTTTGTGACTTAATCTGAATGCCAATATGATACTAACGCTTAAACTAGCTTAGCTTTTACCCCAGCCTGGTTCGGTTGTTGAGTTTGAATAGGCTTTAGTAATTTCTCTCCCCCTGAATCTTATGTCATTTGTTGTTAGGGAAAAATAGGTGATCATATCGATATGAGTATGTTAGCCCCACCTAAGAAGGAAACAGTTGCATATGCTGTGTTAAAGCGGCCCATATTATATGCAATTTTTAATATGGATAACTGTGTTAACATTTATTTTTCATGTTGTATATTACATATTTTTTATTTACTTTATTATTTTTTGTATTATATGTATAATATATATTTATACGTATATTTTTGTAAATATTCAAGTTATCCTTTAATATATATATATATATATATATATATATATATATATATATATATATATATATATATATATATATATATATATATGTGTGTGGGAAGGCATCGTCCTTGTCCTTAGTAAGGACAAGACAAGAACATATCGATGCCAACACAGAAGACAATGTCCAACATAACAGGCCAATTACACTGGATTAATCTTTGTGTTTAGATAGGAGATGCCTCGTATGGGCCAATAAGCCTTCTGCAGCCTCTATGTTTCACCTCACATTTATCCCTTATGTATCCCCCCATGTTTTCACCTTCATTGTATTATCACCTCACCTAATGCGGGTATAAAATCAACTAGTATTGTAAGATCTGTTCACTTGAGAATGAACCATGGAGGTTCGAAACGTCGTGCAAATTATACAAATAAGTGTAATACACTCTATAGTAAATCACTTCTTTTCTTCACCTTAAAAGTACGAAAATGAGTTTTGGAAAACTCCTATTTCAATTAAGCCCTGATGCTAAGAAAATAGTTAGAGGGATAGAAGCCCTAAACCAGAAAATAATAAATACAGAATATGCGGTCATATTCAATGAAACATGTTTGAAAGAAAAGAAAACCTGCTGCCAGTATACACCGACATATATATATATATATATATATATATATATATATATATATATATATATATATATATATATATATATATATATATATATATATATATATATATATATATATATATATATACATATATATATATATATATATATAAGTATATTTTGGTAGCAGTCTTTCCTGTAGACATATATTATTAAATATGACCGAAAAAGTAAGATTAATAATTCTAACACGAATTTTCTCAATCTTTCGTACATTACGCTTCACTGTTGGAGGTAAATCAAAAATCATTTCTCCAAAATTCATTTTTATATCTAGTCTGACGCGACACGGGCGCGTTTCGTAAAACTTATTACATTTTCAAAGACTTCACAAATACACAACTGATTAGAACTTACGTATCTCTGGTTTTATATCTACATTTGAGTGAGGTGGGAGGGGTGATGTGGCATTAACACAAGACAGAACAAGAGGGGACAAGACTTCATGCTACAAACTCCACTCGTTTGTAGCATGAAGTAGAGTAGAGAATGAAATCAAAGACAACAAAACGCAACTACTTCATGCTACAAACGAGTGGAGAAATAGCAACATCGACCATAGTATCCGTACCCGCATTGAACAACACCTCGACATCCTCACAGACCAACATCACCTCAGCACTGAAACAAGGATTATCAAGAAACTAACAACATTATATGGAGGACCTATGGCAATTCTACGACCAAGAGATGGCTTCCTGAACCTTGCAGGAATTAACCTCACTGAGGACCAAGTCACTCTCCTAAATCTGGGCATAAACTGTCATGTTATGTCCAGACCGAGTGAAATGGCCCGGAAAGTAGAGTTGGAAATTCTGTTGGACGACATATTCGACCTCGAGACACAAAAGAAGGTCACTACCAAAGATACCTTACAAGCAGAACTTATTGCAGAAGGAGGAAAGAATCGAGGCAACTACAGAAGCACCATACTGTCCCCCGAGCTTAAAGCGGCAGCTAAAAGCCTTCGTGAGAACAAGGAGATAGTTGTCAGGAGAGGTGACAAGTCGCCAATATATGTCATTCTTAAAAAAGACGAATATCTGGCGAAAATGAACATCATACTCTCTGACCAAACTAAGTTCCAAAGGGTAACGAAGGACACTACAGCCGAATTAAAAGCAAAGGTCAACAAACTGATCGAAACTGTGAACGCCAAGAAATCCGGACTCCACCTGCCAAAGATCATTGGGGAATATAAACCTGGATATGCGTATGGTAATGTCAAGACGCACAAGCCTGGAAACCCACTTCGGCCAATCATTAGCCAGATTCCCACACCCACGTACAGACTGGCGAAGCGACTCAACGGCCTGCTGACTCCTTATGTTCCTTGCGCCTTCAGCCTGAAGTCTCCAAAGGAATTTGTGGACTTACTGCGGGGCACACGGGCCACAGGGATAAGAGCCTCGTTGGACGTAGAATCGCTGTTTACCAACGTACCTGTGGACGAGACAATCGGAATGATAGCCGACAGAGTGTATCGTGATCCAGCCTGTACTCCTCTTGACATGCCAGAAAGTATTCTGAGGAAACTACTCCAAGCTTGTACTAAAGAGGCACCCTTCTTGAGCCCGGATGGGCACATGTATAAGCAAGTAGATGGGGTCGCCATGGGTTCTCCCCTAGGTGTCCTGTTTGCAAACTTCTACATGGGTACCATCGAGCAAAAAGTCTTAGTCGACATGAACTTGAAACCGGCCATATACTGCAGGTATGTTGACGACATTTTTACACAGGTACCTGATGTCAGATATCTGCAGGAGCTGAAGGAGGCATTTGAGCAGAGTTCCGTGCTGCGTTTCACTTACGAGACGGAAAAGGATGGGAAGCTGCCTTTTCTAGATGTAACAGTCATGGAAAAGGGCGGAGGTTTCTACACTGCAGTCTACACTAAGGAAACAAACATAGGAATGTGCCTAAATGCCAACAGCGACTGCCCTGACAGGTACAAGAGGAGTGTTGTTAACGCATACGTCGACCGTGCTCTCAGCCACAGCTCAGAATGGAAGCAAGTCGACGAAGAACTCTGTAGGGTAAGGCAGGTCCTAGTCAATAACGGCTTCTCCAATGGTTTCATCGAAGACATCATAAGAAGGAAAGTGAAAAGCCATGCAACCTCTGAAGAGACAACTAACACAACACCTATACCCCCTATTAGACTATTTTACAGGAACTTCTTTTCCACAGCTCATAAAACGGAGGAAAGGGTCCTGAAAGATATTGTTAATAGAAACGTTATCCCTACAGACAAAAATCAGAGGATACAACTGACGATTTACTATAAAACCAGAAAAACGGCCAGCCTACTCATGAGAAACTCTCCAGACACAAAACAGAACGCTTTAAAAGAGACTAACGTCGTCTATGCCTTCAAATGCCCACTTGGGGACTGTAAGCTCCAAAAAACCCAGTATATAGGCAAGACAACAACATATCTTTCTAGGCGTTTAACGATGCATAAGCAACAGGGCTCCATTAAGGAGCATATAATCTCTTCCCATAACCAAACCATCGCCAGAGAAATCCTAGTAAACAACACAGAAATCATCGATAGATACAGCGATAGCAGGCGGCTTGACGTTTGCGAGGCACTACACATCAAGAAGTTAACACCAGCAATCAACAGCCAATTATTGCACAACTATATTCTACCCACCTCAAGACTCCGCTCCAATATAGAAGCATCAAGAAATATGGACCAATAGGCTTTCTACAAACACTTCTATTCAATACCCATTGTTTCTGTTCTGTCTTGTGTTGATACTTTTAATACCCTATTAATATCCCCTCATGTTCTGTCTTGTGTTAATGCCACATCACCCCTCCCACCTCACTCAAATGTAGATATAAAACCAGAGATATGTAAGTTCTAATCAGTTGTGTATTTGTGAAGTCTTTGAAAATGTAATAAGTTTTACGAAACGCGCCCGTGTCGCGTCAGACTAGAAATAAAAATGAATTTTGGAGAAGTGATTTTTGATTTACCTCCAACAGTGAAGCGTAATGTACGAAAGATTGAGAAAATTCGTGTTAGAATTATTAATCTTACTTTTTCGGTCATATTTAATAATATATATATATATATATATATATATATATATATATATATATATATATATATATATGTCGTACCTAGTAGCCAGAACGCACTTCTCAGCCTACTATGCAAGGCCCGATTTGCCTAATAAGCCACGTTTTCATGAATAAATGTTTTTTCGACTACCTAACCTACCTATCCTAACCTAACCTAACTTTTTCGGCTACCTAATGTAACCTAACCTATAGAGATAGGTTAGGTTAGGTTAAGTAGGGTTGGTTAGGTTCGGTCATATATCTAAATTTATTTTAACTCCGATAAAAAAATATTGACCTCATACATAATGAAATGGGTAGCTTTATCATTTCATAAGAAAAAAAATTGAGAAAATATATTAATTCAGGAAAACTTGGCTTATTAGGCAATTCGGACCATAAACCTGGGCCATAAAGCCATCCAGGTTTTGGTCCATCAGGATGAGAGGTTCTCTCTCTCCACTGGGCAATGAGGTGAGGCAAGACTCCTCTTGATGGTGTCCTTTACCTCGTTCTGTTTTGCATGTCAGTCCTGCAGCGCAACCCGAGCTGTCCACGTTTTGCAAATACACTTTTATACTCATTGTGAATTGTGGCACCAAGGCAGAGGGGCCTTGTTACACAAAGGAATTTAGGATCTTGACGCGTGCTTGTTGCCGAAATGCGTACTGCCAGAAGCAAGTCTGCTGCATGAGGGTCACATACTGCTATGAAGTGGGTATTTTCCCTATCAGATATTGCAGTTCTGTGCAATATAGCAGCCCTAGCACCCATCATAGATTAACCAAAAAAATATAAATAGTCAAGCTGGGACCACCCACTATTGAAAAAATAGCTGATGATGGCTATTTGATGATGCGCTATTGATGGCGATGATGGCTATTCATTAGAAAAATAGCCATCATCAGCTATGTTTTTCACTAGTGGGTGGTCCCAGCTGAAATGTTTGTATGTTTTTGGTGAATCTATGATGGGTGCTGGGGCTACAAGAGCATCCCATTGATTTTCATATTCATGGAATACAGGATCATGTATCTCTGCTGAATCACTCAGGGGTTCCGATAGGATATATTACGAGGTCGTACGATGCATGGGAGGAGGAAAGGAAGGCTGGTACAGCAATCTGGAAGGCTGTGCAGACATCACGGCCTCAGAATCTTACAGGGGAGGGTTGCTTGCTGTCATTGAGATTCGTCCACCGGAAGATTCAGAACTTTCACCTGCAAAGACCTCAGAAAAGTGTCAGAGAAATTTAATTTAGGGCTGTTGTAGGATGGAGAACACCTCGGAAAGTATGTCAATTAAGGGAGAGATATGTATCTTGTGAGGACTAAGTGAGCATCATGGGGCATCACTCTTGTGAATCCTGTCCAGCATTCCTCTTAGGTCTGTGATTGCTTGCGGGCCAATGAGGGCAGTCAGGTGTCTCGACAACAAGAATGTCTGGAGGAACAGTTTTTATTTGACTAGTGAAGTTTGGGTTGCGGGAGACTATTTTTTTTCTTGCAATGTATCTGTTATCAATTTATTAATTCTGCTAGAATTTACCTACTTAAAATTATCTGTTAGATTAAGGACCTGCCCGAAACGCTGCACATACTAGTGTCTTTACAAGATTGTAAATACTATGCTATGTATTCTCTCTAACCCAATGTACCTTCTTGTATATAAATAAATAAATAAATAACTAAATAAATAAATAAATAAATAAATAAATAAATAAATTTCACATTTGGTTACATTAAGAATGAGGCCCAAGGTTGCTCCTTGCTCCTGGATTTTCTTTATTTCCTCCAAAATGGTATCCGGGGTTCCCGCGAGAGTGCCATCATTCAGGTACCAGAAGGTTAGCTCGCTTGTCGGACTGTCAGTGCCCTCATTGATAGCTAATCAGAAAACAAAGAGGGGGGGGGGGCTAAGGGCCCTGTTGGACTCCTTGTTTTAATTTTTTCAGATATTAATACTTTTTATAGGCTTTCTGAAAAGCTTTCATTTATTTCAGTAACTCAATGTTATTATTTTGTTAATAGTAAACCAATAAATATGCTCTTATATATGTAGCAGGGTTCCCCCTTCCCTTCAAAATGTTCATAAATATTGTTACTAATTCATTAATTTTAACTTTTGGGGAATTATTAGTTATTAATATAATATAATTCCAATAGCTTTACCATTTAAAACAATGCAGAAGAAATATCTGTTTCCTAAACTGACTTTTTTAAAGAATGAAAATAAATAAAGGTCAAATTCAAAAATAATAATATATTATAATTTGCTGCTCAAACTTTCTTTGGGCTAGGGAGACAATTTTTTTGAATCATTGCCAATGTCGACATGCACTCTCAAAGGAGATTGCCACCTCCCCTCCCCCCCTTGGTGAAGACACTATTTTAAAACTAGCAATATTTTTAATTTAACTTGAATTAATAATTATTTAATCCATTACCTATTTGTAATATAAGATTAAGTTCATGATCTGCTCACATATTGTCGCCTATTAGTGTAGGTTTATCATGTAATATTATTTGTTTACACTTTAACCAACATGAAATGGGGCACATTTTGTTATCTACTGACATCTTCTGAAAAATTCCAAGTAATATTAGTTACTGTACAGCATTTTTATAACATGAGAATGAAATATTTGAAATATATTATGGAACTCTATCATGATTTCCTCTATTGTAATATTAACGAATCTTAAGATGTTTAATGTTCCATCCTTATTGGAATATTAGTGTTTCTTTTTTGGATGTTTGGTTATTAAGGTTTCTTCTTTGTCTAGATAGCATATTACAGACTATAACATTTCTCGATCTCAGAATACAACAAAATAAATAAAGGGACAACTACTACTGAACTAAAGCAGGTCAGTAGACTAATGGTCGCCGTTCGTTAAAGGAATATAAATTATCCCATTTGTTGCTAAGAATCTGATATATATGTTAACATTAGTTTTGTAAATCGAAAAATAATGTTAACAAATTTATCAGATTCATAGCAACAAATGGGATGATGTCTGTAATTTATCCACTAAACTTATCGAATTTAATTTAAACGCTAGATTAGAGATTGGTTATTTATTTAATTTAATTTAAAATATATTTAAATATAGAACGCCAACATAGATCTCACAAGCAACAAATATTAAGTTGAAACCTGAGAATCAAAACCGGAGATATGCGGCGATTATTCTCTTAGAATAATGGTATCATGTTTTAGGTCATACTTTTTCGAGAAATTATTATATTGACCAATATGAACCAACGTCTTACAATCAAATATTAGATCAGTACAATTATAGATATATGAGTGAATGTTTTATATTGATAAAGAACATGTTTTCTGTTGTTGTTTGTAGGTATGACTAAATGGTGTCACCCTGTTATTTATATTATCAGCAACGGTGTTTAATATAGTTTCTATTTTTTACATAAAATTGAAAATAAATTAGTAGTGCTTTAGAATAACTTAAACATTATATCAGTTCAAAAGTTTTAAGATCAAATGTGATTCTCTAGGATAATGAATATATTATATAATGAGATGAGTGTAAAGTAATAAACATGGATGCATTAAGAAGTTTTAAACAATATTAATACTAATTGTTGTGGTGATGAAGGATACGGACGATGACTGAGGTAGGATTGTTTCAACACTGGATGAAGGCCGCTGAAGCAAACTCCACCGTGTGTCAACACGCTCCGTCGAAAATCATCGTCCAAGAGTCACTTTCTAATAAAAATGTCTGGGTAAAAAAAAAGCTGTTTAATAATACTTTGTACGAATATAATGACATTTAAATTAGTAAATGCTCAAGTCTGCAATTTTTTTTACTTTTAATGTGAATGAGTATGAAAATCTTGACATCTGTTTCAGGGAATGTTTGTCATCTTCATTGCTGGTCACACTGTCAGTGTGTTTGTACTCACCCTGGAGCTTGTGATGGTCAACATACTCCACTGATGGACTCATACATCACTTGAAAATTATATCATATTTATTGTTTATTCATAGGTTAATTTATTTTAATTTAAATATGGTTATGCATTATAATTCTAAACACCAACCATTTATGTTTTAATTTTGCAAATAAAGAAGCTTTAAAGTGCTCACCTAATACTTTAGACTGATATTTAAGAGTCTTTTAATGTTTTTGATATTAATTTAAATAAATTTGACAAAATGCTCTGAGATCCTGAACTTTTTATTTAAACCAGAGTAATATTTCCAAGCACCATTGTCTGAAAGGGACTAGAAAGGCTGGCCAACGTCTTCATACACATGTTTATGAAAACATTTAAGCAAATTTTATAAAATAGCCCCGGATAATTTTAATACAATATTATATTTTCCTCACTAACCAATCTTTCCATTCACACGTTACGAGACTAAGATTATTAAGTCTACGAATGTCAAACCAAAAAATATATTTAATTTTAGTTAAAATCTGTGACTCTCAAGAGCGACAGCAGACTCCCACTAACAATTCACTGGAAATGTGAATTATTCCACTGTTATCCTAGTGATTTAAACTGATCCTCTAGGAGGGGGGAAATATCACATGCATTAGAGAGTTGGTCCAGGGTACGAGCATCACAAGGAACATTATCCAGTGGCACCTACCGACCTACAGGAGATACCACCGGGTTCAACATTTTTCTTATATTATTAGGAACTCTGAATAATTAACGAATTGAATCATGTGTTCGACAGTAACCTCACTACCCTGGGGCAGGTGTGGATCCGTGGTGCTCAAGCTATTGACCTTAGCGTGGACCAGTGGCGTAGTCAGGTTCTGAAGTTATGGGGAGCGAGCACATTAAATAAAAGTGCCACGTCAAGTACGTAACAATTTTAAATTATTTTTATCTTTTTTTTTTTACTTTGAATCCAAACTCATAGAAGATACCCTGCATACTTTAGGTTAATTTATTTAGCCTGGATTTCTCAAACTAGTCCTACAGCTTGGAATAGCACTGACATAGTGCCGATCCCAGAACCCAAAGATCCAGCTAATCCAAGGCCAATCTCTCTCTAAATTTGTGCGTCCAAGACGGCTGACAGAATGGTACTCGACAGACTTGAGTGGAAAATGCCTAAATTTATTCAGGACATGTATGCTTATAGAAGAGGGGTTGGTTCAGTGGAATGTATTACAACTCTGTTAGCCCACCTGAATGACAGACCAGGCATACTGATATTCCTGGACCTTGAGAAAGACTTTTAACTGGCTAGCGCCCCCAGCTATTCTCTGCTGCCTCATCGACAAAGAGATCAAAGGCAATCTGCTCTTCTGGACCAAAAACTTTCATAAACAGAGAAGCAAGAGTGAAACATTATGGCACAGTCTCTGAATACAACAGACATGAAAATGGTACACTGCAAAGAGGCATGCTCAGCCCCCCCCCCCTTCTCTTCAGCTGTATAATGAAAAGAAAAATGAGGCTGAAACTCCCACAACACTTCAGGCTGCTGAACTACGCGGACGACTTTGTCATCATCATAAAAGGAAGGGATGCGGCGCGCCTTGCAACCAAATGCTTAGACTGCAACAGTGAAGAGACAAAGCAGATTGGAATGAAACTCAACCCCACAAAGACAATGCCATGCACATAAAAAATAGTGGAGCCCAACAGCCAACTCACAGTACAGGGTCAAGAAATTGAATGGGTGGACACTTGTCAGTATCTAGGGATAATCCTGGAGGCACACATAAATTTTAATGCTGAGGTCACTTACTTGACAGTGAGAACTGT